ATTGGAGCCGGGGGAGCTTCTTGAAGCCTCTCACAGGAGCCATCTCCGTAGCCCTCTCCCCCGCTGCCAAAACAGCGCCAAAACCCCACCGGACACCAAACCACCAGTTTCGAGTATAGGACAATAGATAGGAGTCAGGCTGAAATTTTTAACTTCAATTTGTGCTATGGGTTAGAAACTGGTACTTAATGATGTAATAAAAGTGAAGTTATTTACAAACTGAAGCTGAAATACTTCAGACATTACAGAATTTAGTGATGCTGTTGGTGTGAAGTAACGATCGTCTTACTTTAGCCAAACTTGAAATATTTATGAAATTCTACAGAATTGATGATTTTACAAAATGTTGTGATAGCATATGTGTAAAATCTCGTGAGATCTGTGATACATTTCAAATGTGTTTTGCTTGTTCTGGTCTAGAGTCAAAGTAGAGTCATTTTTATTGAAAACATTTTTTCATTGATTACTGATTGTCATTTCTGTTTCATGATTTTCCAGGCAGTGTTCACTGATTTGGAGATTCTTGCAGCAATTTTTGCCAGTGCAATACATGATGTAGATCATCCTGGCGTTTCAAACCAGTTTCTTATCAACACAAGTAAGTTTGATGTTCTGTGGTTTTCTCAAGAATTTCCTGCAAGATCTGCATATAGCACATGAAAAATATGCAATTCATTCCTTGTTTGCTTCTGTCTGTAACTTTTTTCGGTAAATAGATAAGTGTTTGTATTTTAAACTGGATATTATTTTGCATTTCTTGTAACTTTAGAAATAATTTACATAGTGCCCTCTAGCAAGAATTACTGAGATAAGAACTATAAACCTGGCACTGTTTCAATGTATTGGGTGGGTCTTTCCTGGAAATTGGTTGGTTTACGTTAAATAAAGTTATAGGAGAAAAATTAAGGAAGATTAAATAAAAATCAAAAAAGTAAGGCAACAGTTTGTGTGTTTATGTTGGAAGCATGAGATACCACTCTCTACAACTACCTGAAAGGAGGTCATATTGAGGTGGGGGTCGGTCTCTTCTCCCAAGTAACAAGTGATAGGACAAGAGGAAATGGCCTCGTGGCAAGAGAGGTTTAGATTGGACATAGGAAAAATTTCTTTACCAAAAGAGTGGTCAAACATTGGAATAGGCTGCCCAGGGAAGCGATGGAGTCACTGTCCCTGGAAGCGTTCAAAAAATGTGTGGATATGGCACTTTGGGACATGGTTTACTGGGCATGGTGGTATTAGGTCAATGGTTGGACTTGATGATCTCAAAGGTCTGTTCCAACCTAATGATTCTATGACCAAGGATAGCCATGCTTTTTTAAGAAATTCAGGAAACAAGTTTCTTTTTAGCAGACAGACTGGCAGGCCCATCTCTGTCTCTCCCTGGCTGCTATACTTGGTTTTTGATCGCTGCATATTCATGCCTCGTGGACTGAATTTTCTCAGCCTGCCCCTGCAGGCTATGGCAAACCTTTTTTCCTGTTTTTTTTTGTGACTCTCTTGCTGGCACTCCATGTGTGGAGAGAAGTAGCCCTATTGAAATGAGACCCCAATGTCATCTCCAAATTTGAAGCCCAGTGTACTTGCTCTGCATTCCTCAAGGCTGTTTCTCTGCAGTGGTGCATGAACCTCTCCCCCCTCTTTAATCATCTACTAGAAGAAGAAGACTATTAGCTTCATTGAACCTGATCATGACACAGTTATGGAATGGCGTGTTGCCCCAATGTAACCTGCTTTGATTTCAGTGGCGTATGATACCAGTATAAGTGGGTAGCACATTGTAGGTCAGTGCAAGCTCCATCATACGATGTTACTTCTTTTGCTGTCTGACAACTTCTTCTTTTACAATAACTGACCTAGAAGTACGAAAGTTGAAATAATACTAATAATCCAAGCACATAAGAAGAAAAATGTACAGAAATGGAAACATACCTAGGGTTGTGCATTTGACCCATCTGGTTGCATATTTATGGATACTATCATTGATGCACTTAGGTGAATCTGTTGCACTGGTGCTAAAATAGGATGACCCCAAATCAGTGGTATAGTCTGAAGAAGGGAGCTCCTGACTCACTGCTGCTGTGTGTTCAGATAAGACCTCCATTTTAGCTTGCATCTAATTTTATTTGCTTTAATGGCCTGAGGGCCACCCTGTAGTGACATTCAATGTGATGATTCATCTCCATGGAGAAGCATTGGATTTGAATAGATTTATGGTGCTTTATTGGCAACTAGTACAGTTCAGCAGCCTGTTATGGGAAGAGAATGAATCAAGCTTTGTGCACAAAACAGTGTAATACCTAAATTCTTAAAGGTGGGCATGTGTAAGTAAAGTTTTTGTTTGTTTGGTTAATCAGAAATTCAGCATCAGGATATATTGGTGGCTCTGAGGTGCTAAGAGGAAACCAGCAAGTTGTTCAGGTTTCAGCAG